ATCCGCGGGTCGCCTCTGCCCTTTGTCAACGCTGGCGAGGTCCCTGCCGAGACCCCGACCCTTCCCTTGTGACGGTCGCCCGGGTGGGACGGGCGACATCAAAGTCTCGCGTCGTCAAGCAGCGGGCACGGCGTTGACGTTGATCATTTTCTGCCGTAGCTGAGACTTAACATTTTTAAGTGCGCCTCGGGTGCTTTCGGTAGCCCAGGTCTCCGGTGTATGTGCGTTGAACCTCTTTCGCACTGTACGTAGCCAACCGACGTAGTCGTAGGTGCGAGGGGAGGACAACAAACTAAATGGGAAAAAATAAGTTTTGAGAAATAAGAGCGTTCGTGACGGGCGCAGAAGCGCACCTGAACGGGCGCGATGCGGTGACCGCCGCCTTTGTTCGATGGCGAGCCACAAGCCGCCGCTAGCGAGGATGACCGCAGTTCGAGCGATGATGGTCGGCAACGCTTTGTGTGCTTCATTCGTGGCAAGCAACTCAAAATAATTTATTCGTTCGGCAACCGGAAGCCAATGCAGCTCGGCGAGCAGCGGACGGACGCGGTCGGATCTTGTTACAAACTCGTCCGAAGGCGCGGCGATCGGCATCGTGCTCAAGTCGAGACGCACCATTCTAGATTTGAAGTTTTCGTGACTGCAAGGGTCCGTACTCTTCGGTTTTTTTCGGTAAAGTCACTTAGGTGACAAAATGAAATGTAAATGAATAAAAATTATTTTATTTACTTATTTTTTTTTTCACCTGCGTGACTTTGCAGAAAGAACCCAACGGGTTTCGAGACTTAGGTAAAAATAAAACAACAAAAATCACGACGTTTCGGCCACAACACAAGTGGCCTTCATCAGGTGAAGGGACCGGACTGTCCAGAGGACACTCCAACGCTGTACTCTGGACAGTCCGGTCCCTTCACCTGATGAGAAGGCCACTTGTGTTGTGGTCGAAACGTCGTGATTGTTGTTGTTTTATTTTTTACCTACGTGACTTTACCGAATAGAACGAAAGAGTATGGATCCTTGCAGTCACGAAAGCTTCAAATCTAGAATTTAGTTTCGAGACGCGTCGTGCCGCTGGAGACGCGGTCTCCCCCGTGCGCAGCGCCCCGGCGGGGCGGAGCGGGCGACCGTGGCCGAGCGAGAGCCTGGGGACGGAGAGGTGCGCGTGGTGGTTACAACTTGAACTATTCCGGCAATTTTTTTGTATTTTATTTCCCAGGTGAGGCGGCCCATGCCGAGCTACGTAGCTCTTTGTCAGACCCGACCTGGCCGCCGCAAATGATAGCTCGACAAAACCGGCTTATGGCGGCGCGGAGTTTTACCGCGGCCAAAACGCTGCTGTAAATGTCCACGTTTAGAATCTACGTCGTGAACGCGTAGGTGTTGATTGTAAATGTGGAGCGGGAAATAACCGGAGGACCCGGAGAAAAATCCACGCCACCACAGGGGAGAGAGAGAGAGACACGGAAACTCCCAACATAAAGCAGGCATCGTCGGGGTCGGAATCGCCTATTGCGTATTTGGAGTTTGCGTGTTGGCCACAGGGCCACGTTCATTTTGTGTGTCGAGGTGAGAACTCGGCACTCGCACCCATTGCAAGCGTGACTGACCTGGGTGTCCCAGGTGACAAAATCAAAACAAAGTAAACATTTTTTTCATGACAATTAGATTGTGGTAGACTCACGTGGAGACACGGAGGCTCACATAGAGAACCACAAGCTCACATAGAGACTCGCATATTCACGTAGACTCACACAGGGAGCCATGGACTCGCATAGAGAGCCGTACTATACAATACAATGTGGTTACGTTCCTGGTACGAGGTAACACAGGGGTGTAAATGGTACATTTTAATAAGAATGACGACGATAAATAAATCATAGATTGTAAAGAACGAAGTGGTTTTTTTTTGTGTATGTATGTTGAACTTATTTTGCGCCCTACGTAGCCAACCGTGCTCATCTTGACGACGATGGACGAGGTGGTGGTGGTGATGATGGCGAGGAATTCGGGAGATGGAGTGAGAAAGGAAAGTGCAAGAGGCGCTCTCCCTCTCTCGGCGGACGCTTGGGAGGCAGGATTAAGGGCAATAAAGTCAAAATGCACAATAGCCAGTTGAGAGGAGCTGCAAGGTTGGTACCTAATTCGCAGGCAGCCGAGGTGGCGTGCCTAATCACCCCACACGGTTTCGGATTTAAAATTCTGCGCGCAACTCCTCGGTGTCGGTGGCCTGGCGCCACGTTGTACACTGGAGTCTGGCGGGTCGCGAATAGGGAACGGTGGCGAGATGTTAACTCCCTTGCCTGGTACGCACAAGGTCGTGGGTTCGATACCGACCATGACGACGCCTGTTGAATATTTCGGGTTTTGCGCATCTCTCTCTCTCTCCCCGTGGTCGTGTGGATTTTTCTCCGGCTCCTCCGGTTTTTTCCCTCCACATTTACAATCAACGTCACGCCTTTAGAGTGTTTAAACTGCTGCTATTACATTTCCACGTGATTATGAGCCACTTGGTTTGAGTTTTCATTTGTGGCCTGGTCGCTTCGGGAAAAGAGCTACATCGCTCGGTGGGGCCTTACCTGGGTATTTATATATTATTTTTTTTTCCCCCCATCTGGTACCTCGCGAATGTGCGAACCTTGCGATTCCAGAGCTCATGAATAGCGAGGGTTTACCGCAGCGCTGCGACGCGAGACTTGGCAGCCTCAGGTCCGCCGTGCTCCCTCCACCGTGACGAGCAACGCCCGCCGCTCGGCTGTGAACCGACTTGCTGACCACAGCGACCGAAGCCGCCAGACAGAGGAGATGAAAACTCGTAAATCCCACGACCGTGATCGGAGTTACTCGTCGTCGTGAGTGACGCAACGGCACGCGGCCGGCGAGGCCGCCCCAACGGCCGTGCTTCGGCCGTTCCGCAAAGTGCCGCGCCGGTCAACCACGCGCGCCAGAGTTCGATTCCCGGGCCCGCGGCTGACGTCAGGGGGCCGGTGACGTCTGTGCCGGTCGTATATCCCCCCCCCCCACCACCCCCGACCCTCATTTTTATCATCAACTCGCACTCAACCGGCGTGGTGAAGTATGGTCAATCGATTTAACACGTGCGCTTTCGCGACCAGTATTATTCACAATAAAGGTTTTTTGTGTTAGATCGCGTTATTTATGAATGTCTCGCAACCCTCCGCCACCGACACGGCCAATCAGATTGGGTTGAATGATGACGTCACCCTGCTGCTGCTCTATTTAAGACCGGGGGCAGGTGGAGGGCTTCACTATTCTGGCAAATCGCCCGATGATGCTGGGGATGTAATTACCAGCGAAACGTCTTACTCAAAAATTGTAAATGTTGTGGATTCACTCTTCAACACACCAGGTGTGCTAAAGTAGTGAACTATCTTGTCTTTTGTCAACGTGACACTTTTCTTTTCACTGATTGGCCGTGTCGGGTGGTGAAGGGTTGCAACACATCAATAACACGATCTAACCCAAAACCTCTATTATGAATGGTCAATCGACCCCCACCACCCGTGCTTCGGCACTGTGATGCCCATGAGGTCGAGGCAGATCTGGAAACTTCTCTAGGCGGGCGGGGGTGGGGTGTGCAGGGGGGAGGGGGAGTCCCACAATATAAATATTTTTAAATAGAGCCCTAAGTGAATAATAATACAAAATAATTGCTCGCTATATTTTAATTAGTAAACATCGGTGAAACAATACCAATTGTTGCCGTCTTGAAGGGAGGGGGTCAATCGCCCCCAAGGTCACCCCCCCCCAGCCCACCCCTGGACCCACGACTCTCGTGCGCTCCTGGAGTTGGGCGGTCGGAGCGAGAGCTCTTCGCGGGGGGGGGGGGTAGGGGGCTTCGCGTGGGGGGGGGAGGGGCTTCGCGTGGGGGGGCCACGCTCGTAGTCGACGTGCTGAGCTGCCTGGCGCGGGCGCTGGTTGTTGTTGAATTGAAGGGGGACCCCGGGGGGGGGGGGTGGGGGCTCACTACGACCCCCACCGCCTATGGCTGCACCGCCACTTCGGCCACGGACGGCCCTCCGAGCCGTGTGAGTGGCCGTGATGATGGCGATGATAGTGATGATGGTGACGATAGTGATGATAGCGATTGTATAGTGATGATGGTGATGTTGGTAATGATCGTGATGATGGCGATGATGTAGTGATGATGGTGATGATAGCGATTGTATAGTGATGATGGTAATGATAGTAATGATGTAGTGATGATGATGGTGTAGTGATAATGGCGATGATAGTGATGATGGTGATGGTGTAGTGATGATGGTAATGATGTAGTGATGATAGCAATTGTATAGTGATGATGGCAATGATGGTAATGATAGCAATGATGTAGTGATGATGATGGTGTAGTGATGATGGGGATTATGCTGCTGACGATGCTGACACTAGTCGTGATGCTGAAAGCGCTGATTCCCAATTGTGTGTCCGTCTCTATGGGATAGAGTGTTTCCCCCTCGCATGCGTGGGTTTCCTCCGGGTTCTCTGGTTTCCTCCCAATTGGGCGGTAACACCTGCATGTGTAGAGGACTGCAGAGCTTGGGGAATTGTTGGTGGAGCCGCGTGGCTGCTGCTGCTGCTGCCTTCCCACTCCTTGTTTGTGGTTCCTCCTCCTGACGCTACCGACTCGTCCTCCCGCTCTCTGTACGGGAGCGATGAGCGGATACTTACGTAGTACGTATGTTGGACTTCTTTCGCGCTAATCGAAGGACAGCAGGCGAAACGCAACGGCGACAACAACAATCATTTCTCAAGTTTTCAACCGAATACCGTGCGGCGGGCGCGACAGCGGTGATGACGCGTTACAGGTTGACATTGTTGTTGTTGTTGACGTTGTTGTTGCTCTTGACGTTGTTGTTGTTGACGTTGTTGTTGTTGTTGTTATCACGACGATTCTTGTGATTATGGCATATTGATGATGATGATGCTACCGATGCCAACGACAACCGCCGACCCCACCTCACCCCCCACCCACCACCCGCCAGGCTGCAGATGGTCCGCAAGGAGAAGTCTCGTGACGCAGCTCGCTCACGGCGCGGCAAGGAGAACTTCGAGTTCTACGAGCTGGCCAAGCTGCTGCCGCTGCCCGGCGCCATCACGAGCCAACTCGACAAGGCCTCCATCGTGCGCCTCACCATCAGCTACCTGAAGATCCGCAACTTCGCGGCCCACGGCGACCCGCCCTGGAACCTCCGCAGCGAGGGGCCGCCGCCCAACACCTCGGTCAAAGGTGGGAGTCGGGGCGAGGCCCCTTCCTGGTCACCGCGTAGCGGCGCGGCCGCCCCTGCTCGCGTTCGTTCGTCCACGCGTCCGTTTGTGCGTCCGTCCGTCCGTCCGTCCGCCCGCCCGCCTTGCATCTCTCCCGTGACCGGACACAGCGCCGGGTGCACCAATGGAGATGGGGTGGATGGCGGGAGGCTGGATCGACCGCTGAACTGCATGGCCCGTTTCTCCCAGCTCACGATCCTCTCCTAAAATTCCGTCGTTTATCACGGCACAGCGGTTACGAAGCACAGCGCCTCGTTGCTGCCTGCGCTGTGCTTTGTTCCCTTGCTCGATCGCTCCCAAGCGTTCAAAATCCACTCGCCGCGAGCTTCACGGGCCGTCCCGTCGTCGTTGTCGAGAAGGCCGAGCGAAAGCGAATCGCGTTGCCTAATCCCTCGCCGCCCGCTCTGACCCCCCGACGTCAACGGCTCGGAACCGGCTCGTTGGTTGCGGGATTCTCGGCGATGGCGCGCCACGGTTCGCCGCTTGCCCCCCGCCGCCCCCCCCCCCCCCCCCCCACGTGTTACGCACACGCGCAAAAACATAGGCCCGAGGGCGACAGCAACAACAACAACAACGACGACGGTTAGCCATCGTCATTCCGTCGTCACCCGTCGCGCGCGCTCCAGCAAACGCGGCGCGTCATGCCAACGTGCCGATCGGCTCCGCACCACGGTGTGAGCTGACCGCTTCGAGGAACTGTCACCCCGATTCCCTCTCTCTCTCTCGTCATCTTGTTGACGTCCCCACAGGGGTGCGGGAATATCCAGTCTAAACACGCGGCAGAGAGAGTGGCGGAGCGGAGAGGTCACGAGTTCAAATCCCGGTGTTGGGTCAAGGGTTGTCCCCCCATCCCCCCATCCCATCATCCTTTCTCTGGGAGTTGATCAAACGGGAGATGAATCAGCTGTGGTTGCGGTAAGGATAGACTCGCCCCCGCCATATGAATGCGGAATTTTCTGCGGGGCTCCAGACAGGAGCCGGTCAGCGATGCCTCGACGCTCGTTTAAGACGCAGGAACTTGAGAGAGAAAGAAACTCCCCCCCCCCTTCCCCCGCAAGTCTCCGAGACCGCGAACCTCATCCTCCTCCCGGCCGGCCCCACTCTCTCTCTCTCTGTCGTGCACGCAGCCACAGCACCCACCAGCTCGCCCGCTCGCGTGTTATCAGCGGTAATTATTCTCCGGCGCTAAAACGCCCGCACGGAATCTGACGGAGCGTTATTAAGTTTAAGACACCGGCGGTCGCTGCGGGGAGTGGAGGGGGGCGGGGGGGGGGGGGGCGGGGGGAGGAGTCTCAGACTTGTTCGAGCAGCGGACTCCCTCTGGCAGTTGCCTGCGTTAATATTCCCGGCGTGACGAGGATTGATGTAGTGCCTGGGATTAATAATGAAGTGCGCCGTGGGGAGAGAGATATATTTCTCACGGTGACACGCGGGACCTTCGGGCTACGCACCGAGGCCGGCGAGAGGTGGGAGTGGTGGTGGTGCTGGTGGTGGCGGCGGCGTGAATGATGTGCCGAGACAAGGTGCTGCCCCGCGCACGTTGTTATATAATCAGAAATCACCCGTGTAGAGGAGTGACTCGCTCGCTCACTCACTCACCCACTCACCCACTCACCCACTTACTCACTCACCCACCCACTCACCCACTTACTCGCTCAATCACCCACTCACTGACGCACTGACTCGCTCACTCACCCACTCGCTCACCCGTCCACTAACACGCCTACTCACTCGCCCACCCACTCACCCACTTACTCGCTCAATCACTCACTCACCCACCCATTCACTCACTGACCCACTCACCCACTCAAGCAGCCACCCACCCACCCACTCACGGACCCACTGACTCGCCCACTCACCCACTCACCACACTGCTGGTCACAAGACGTCTGTCTGCTGCTTCCCGCGTGCACTGCTGCTCCGCTGTGGAATTCTCTCCTCCTCCCACCACCACCACCACTGCCATCGTCGCAACCGCGCTCAATTTAACGCACGTGTCAACTCTCACCTATTACAACCTCAATCGTGCTGCTCACCGCGGGCCGCTTGGCATCCTGGTTCTCTGGGCCCTGCGCTCGGCAACGAGCGAAAGAGGATGGGTCGCCTGGGACCGCCCGCACGGGGAGGGGGGCGGTGGCGGCCAAGGCCCGGCACTCTAAACGAAACAGTTTTTTTTATTTTACCGGGTAAGGCCCAATGAGCTATGTAGCTCTTTTTCAGAAGCAACTGGGCCACAAATGAAAGGTCAACGAAGTGGCTTATCATCACGTGGACATTTATAGCAGCAGCCAAATACTCTGAACGCGTGGCGCTGATTCTAAATGTGGAGGGGAAAAACTGGAGCATCCGGAGAAAAAATCCACGGGACCACGGGGAGAGAGACACGAAAACTACAAATATACAGCAGCAGCAGCAGGCGTCAGGGTCGGGATCGAACCCACGACCTCCTGCACACCAAGCGAGGGAGTTAACATCTCCTAGCCACGGGGGCGCCACTCTCGCTCTCCCCGTGTTTGTAGCACAGCGTGGCGGTGATAAAACGCTCGACCCAGACACTCGGGTCGGGTCTTTCGATGTTGGACGTTGGCAGATGAGAAACACCCCGGGGTGGAGTTCCACCGACGGGGACTGCGTTGGGCAGCGCTGTCAAATGACATCGTCGTCGTCGTTCATGCTGACCTCATTAAACGGCCGACGTTCCATGCAATGTCTCTTTGGCAGGACTGTGCTCACGATGACGGTAGTGAGCGTGCGCGTACATGCCCCTGCGTGTTGCGCGCGTGCCTGTGCTACACACACGCACGCGCTTATACCTCCACGCGGCTTTAAATAAGCGCCTGGTGCGGTGTATCGACGCTGGGGAGGCAAAGGCGGCCGGTCACGGTGTCGACCACCCACCTTCTCGTGAGCCGTTGCCGGCCTTTCATCATAAGCGCGGCTCGCTAGCAGGGCCTTGCCCCGGCCAGTCTGTTAAGGCCACCACGTGGGACCTGTGACAATGTGTGTCCGTGTGTTTGCGTGTGTCTGTGTGTTTGCGTGTGTCCGTGTGTGTTCGTGTGTTTGCGTGTGTCCGTGTGTGTCCGTGTGTTTGCGTGTGTTTGAGTGTGTCCATGTGTGTCCATGTGTTTGCGTGTGTTCGTGTGTGTCTGTGTGTTTGCGTGTGTTTGCGTGTGTTTGAGTGTGTCCATGTGTGTCCGTGTGTTTGCGTGTGTTCGTGTGTGTCTGTGTGTTTGCGTGTGTTTGCGTGTGTCCATGTGTGTCTGTGTGTTTGCGTGTGTTCGTGTGTGTCTGTGTGTTTGCGTGTGTTTGCGTGTGTTTGAGTGTGTCCATGTGTGTCCGTGTGTTTGCGTGTGTTCGTGTGTTGGCGTGTGTCCATGTGTGTCCGTGTGTTTGCGTGTGTTCGTGTGTGTTTGTGTGTTTGCGTGTGTTCGTGTGTGTCTGTGTGTTTGCGTGTGTCCGTGTGTGTCCGTGTGTGTCCGTGTGTTTGCGTGTGTCCGTGTGTTTGCGTGTGTTTGCGTGTGTCCGTGTGTGTCCGTGTGTTTGCGTGTGTCTTTGTGTTTGCGTGTGTCCGTGTGTATCCGTGTGTTTGCGTGTGTCCGTGTGTGTCCGTGTGTTTGCGTGTGTCCGTGTGTTTGCGTGTGTCCGTGTATTTGCGTGTGTCCGTGTGTTTGCGTGTGTCCGTGTGTGTCCGTGTGTGTGCGTGTGTCCGTGTGTGTCCGTGTGTTTGCGTGTGTCCGTGTGTGTCCGTGTGTGTGCGTGTGTCCGTGTGTGTCCGTGTGTGTGCGTGTGTCCGTGTGTGTCCGTGTGTTTGCGTGTGTCCGTGTTTGTCCGTGTGTTTGCGTGTGTCCGTGTGTGTCCGTGTGTTTGTGTGTGTCCGTGTGTTTGCGTGTGTCCGTGTGTGTCCGTGTGTTTGCGTGTGTCCGTGTGTGTCCGTGTGTTTGCGTGTGTCCGTGTGTGTCCGTGTGTTTGCGTGCGCGTGCAGCGATCGGCGTTCAGCGGCGTAGGAGCCCCAGCGCGCTGGCGCAGGAGGTGTTTGAGCAGCACCTGGGGAGCCACGTCCTGCAGGTGAGACGTGGGGGCGGGGGGATTCTGGCACCAGGGTCCGCGCCAGGGTCAATATCGAGGTCAGCGCCAGCTTTGTATACCGGGGTCAGCGCCAGGGTGCGCACCCGGTGTGAATGCACGTCAGCGCTAGCTAGGGTCAATACGAGAATGAACACGAAGGTCAATACCAGGGTCAGTGCCGAGGTCAATTTTAGGGTCAGCGCCAGGGTGAATACCAGGGTTAGGGCCCGTGACCCAGACTTGCATCTGAACGGATGTTGGTGGAATCATGCCGATGCCTCCATCTCGGGCAATAACAACAATAACAACTTGCAAGGCGGAGTTTTCTGACACAAGAATAGGTTTTACCCTTTCTGGCAATAAAACAGTTGTGTTAGGATGTTTAAAACACCAAAGTGTAACCTTTTTGCAAGGACTCGTGTCTGCATTAATGACACGTATTTGTGGTGAATACGAAACTGATCGGTCTGGTGTGAACCAATCAGTTTCAAAGACAATGCATCATATACTCTCAGAGCATGTTTATTCTTCTGTTTGCATGTTCACCACAAAGTTTATGTGGATAATGCAGACGTGACTCCTTGCAGAGGGTTTCTGTTTGCTGTTTTTACATATTAACACCTCCTGTTTCATTGCCAGAAAGGGTACAACCCATTCTTAGATTTTGATACTGGCACGGGGGATCCCATGACGTTTTCTGACGCTCCGTGGAGACGCTCAGTGCGGCACCCACAAATTTCGGCGTGAACAAAAAAAGGCCGCGCATTTATTTTATTTTTTATCGGAGGAGGAGAGACCCCCGCCCCCGAACAGCCCGGCCACACTCGCAGCACAAGCACCTCTCCGCGTTGCGCCGACGACGTTTCGACAAAAAAACGGCCCTTGCCATAGGAATGTGGAAATGTCCGCCGCCCTGCGGGGTGGACGCCGACGTTGACTTTGAGCGGCGCCCCGCGGCTGCCGCTGCTCGGGTTCCCGCTCGGAGGCGCGGAGCGGTGACGGACGGTGGAGTTTGTGGGGGTGGGGGGGGTGCGTGGCGCGATGCCAGGGACACCTGTAGCCACGGCCGCCCCCGGCGGTGGTTCAGGAGAGTGGGGTGGGGGTGGGTCCCGGGGAGGAATGCGGCGCGCTCGTCGTGATGGTCGCGCGCCCGGCGTTGCCGCTCTCTGCTTTTCCGATTGACGCTGCTGTCAGACTCACTCCCTCGCTCCCTCGCTCTGTTCCTCCTCCGCTCCCTCGCTCCCTCGCTCCCCCACTCCCCCACTGCTCCGCTCCCTCGCTCCCTCGCTCCCTCGCTCCCCCACTGCTCCGCTCCCTCGCTCCCTCGCTCCCCCACTGCTCCGCTCCCTCGCTCTCTCGCTCCCCTGCTCCCTCGCTCCCTTTCTCGCTCCCTCCCTTGCTCCCTGTCTGCTTCGCACCCTCACTCCATCCCTCCTTCGCTCCCCCGCTCCCCCGATCCCTCGCTCCTTCGCTCCCTCGCTCTCCGAGGGAACATGTGCCAGCCACACAGCGTGGCTCTTCAAGCACGCCCAAGCTACGCGGGGTCGCGAGGCTGGGATGAATTACCGGGGTCTCTAAGCGTATGGGAGAACCACACGCGCGTAATTAGATCGCGCCGCTAAGAGAGATTGGCACGCCCGTTTAGGATCGTTCTCAACAACAACGGTGACGATAATGACAACGATGATGATGACGATGATGATGATGGCCGCCGTGGCCACACCCCTCATAAACGATCGCGTGCACCTGCGCACGATCGAGTTTTGCGGGAGCTCATTGTCACTGTTCCACTGCTGGATGAAATGCCTCCCCACGCCGTGTCAGGTGCTAGCAGAGTGTGAGTCAGATTGCCCTGGAGTTCCGTGACCGCCGGTGTTCATCCGTGGCCGGGAACCGAACTTTGACCGCCGCGTTCCTAGCGTGGCGCGCTCACCAGACTGCTGTGTTCGTAGCGCCCTCACCATAGCGGTCACCGTAGTGTGCTCACCATAACGCAATCACCGTAACACAGCACGCTCACCGTAGAGCCCTCACCGTAGAGCCCTCACCGTAGAGCGCTCACCGTAGAGCGCTCACCGTAGAGTCCTCACTGTAGAGCCCTCACCGTAGAGCCCTCACCGTTTCGCCCTCACCGTAGCACGCTCACCGTAGAGCCCTCACCGTAGAGCGTTCACCGTAGCGGCCTCACCGTAGAGCCCTCACCGTAGAGCCCTCACCGTAGAGCCCTCACCGTAGAGCCCTCACCGTAGAGCCCTCACCGTAGAGCGCTCACCGCTGCTATGCTCAGAAACACGGCGGCGAGCAAAACCGCGATCTCTGTATTCGGAGGAGGAACCGCCGATCATCACCGCCGCGTCGAAAATTAACCACGCGCCATCGTGGTTGGGTTAGCCGCATGCTCGGCGTGCTCAGGTTACAGTTGCGGGTTTTTGACGCTGGTCCGTGGCCAGGCCGTCATCGACTGCTGACGCTCAGCCCAGTTTGGAGCCGGAGCTCCGGGGCGTTGCCGCGACGAGACGGGAGCCGGACGCCCGCCGAGCCGGCGCGGGCGCATTGCCGACGTGCCGCGGTGTCGGGTGCGCCGATCGTGCCGGGCCAGGGGCGCCGGTCGTTCGTCTCGCGCGAGTCAACTCGGCAACTTCAAAGGCGTCGGAAGATTTTTCAGAGCCTGGTGGCGAGTGCCGGCACCGAGCGGCAGAGTTGGCACCCCGGTGCCGAGTCCCAGCTTGCCCCGTCGCAGGCCGAATTGGAGGGAGGGGGGGGCGATTGGCCGTTTTTGAATTTTAAACTTCGTGTGGGTTTACTGATCGGGTTTTTCCCCTTTTTTCTGGCAACAAAACTGGCACCTTTTGCAAGGAATCATGTTAACATTACCCACAATACTCTGGTGAAAGGCTCACGGTGCGCCTTTTGGCGTCATCTGGCCGAACACCGTATGAGACTAGGCTCTAAGAAAAGCTGTCTCTGGTGTGGACCAATCAGTTTCAAGGACAATGCATAAATTATCAGAGTGTTGTTTTTTGTTTGCATTTGACTGCAAGTATTGTGGTTAATGTTAACATGATTCCTTGCAAAAGGTGTCAGTTTTGTCGCCAGAAAAAAAAGTATATTTTGTTACTGGCAAAGGAGGCCTCGTGATGTCCGAGTGAGTTGTGACGGAACGGACAATATATCGCAGATGGAAGAGAGATGCCATGAGATGACGGAAAATATCTGCGGGTGAGATTGACACGGGAGATGGCAATTAGATTTCGCACGATAATTAACCTTGCACCGTGTTTACCGAGGGTCTCGGTCCGCAGGCGACGCTGCGTCCGCGAGGGCTGCCTCTGAACTTCCACTCGCCCTGCTCAATGAAAGAGCGAGTGTCGCACTTGCTCGCGAGCGAAGAGGAGCCACATGTGTGCGCTCGCGGGGAAAGAGGAGCGCTCGCGAGGGAAGAGGTGCGATCGTGGTGGTGGCGGCAGCTGCCAGCCACGTGTGCACCATACCCCCCCCCCCTTCCTCTAATCGGCCACCTCGCCGCTCCTCGTTTTTCATTCACGGGTGATTAGCCCACTCCGCCGCCACAAAGGAAGGAGGGCAAATTTACGGCCCTGCGCCCGGGGAAAATTGGAAACATAAGGCGCTCGGTGGCGGCCGGGATTCCTCTCCCTCTCGCCGCCGCTCCGCGGAGAGAAGGGGCGGCGGGAGGGGCAGCGGGAAGGGCGACGGGAAGGGCGACGGGAGGGGCGGCGGGAAGGGCGACGGGAGGGGCAGCGGGAAGGGCGACGGGAAGGGCGACGGTAGGGGCAGCTGGAGGGGCAGCGGGAGGGGCGACGGGAGGGGCGACGCGCTCGCGCAGATTTACGACGCAGGGGCCTCCGCTAGCAGCGCCGCGCGGTTCAGCCCGGAGGCCCCGCGAGGTGGAGCGCTGGAGGGGCGAGCGGGGCGGTGGTGGCGGAGAGCTGTTGACGTAGGTAGAGAGAGAGCGAGCTGGAGTGAGTGAGATGGAGGATGGTGGAACACGGCGGTGCACAAGGCGGAGTCGAGCAGTGCGGTGGTGTGGCGGTGGTGGTGTGGTGGTGTGGTGGTGGTGGTGGTGTGGTGGTGTGGTGGTAGTGTGGTGGTGTGGTGGTGGTGGTGTGGTGGTGCGGCGGTGGTGGTGTGGTGGTGGTGTGGTGGTGGTGTGGTGGTGGTGTGGTGGTGGTGTGGTGGTGCGGCGGTGGTGTGGTGGTGGTGTGGTGGTGTGGTGGTGGTGCGGTGGTGGTGTGCTGGTGCAGCGGTGCGGTGGTCCGTGCGGTCCGGGTGAGCCCGCGGCGCCGCTCAGCTCAGGAATGAGTCACGGAGTCGCACCCAAATCAAATTTCACGTGCGCCGCCCCGGGGCAGGCGGCACGGGGAGGGGGGGGGGAGGCGGTGGGAGCTCATCTCACCGCGGCCGTGAGGATGGCGGGCGGGCGGGGCGGGACGGTGGGGCTTGGCGGTTGTTGTGGAAGCCGAGCGCTGCGAGTGAACGGGGCGGGTGGCGTTGGCGGGTCACGCTTCGACGGAACGCGACCAGTCAAAGGTGCGGCCACCGCTGCTTCCTGCTCGCGCCGCTGCTGGCAGAAGGAAGGGCCTCCACTCCAGCGAACACTTAAGAGGGCATTTCGGCCAAACTCTTCCACGCCAGCCCACTTGACCCCGCCTCACGCGACCTGCCGATCGACTCGGCGCAGTGGAACCCATTTATCCCGCTGCTGAGTGCGGGTGGTGCAGGGGATGGATTTAAGAAACTTGCCACCCGATTGTTTCAACCGCCGTGCCAGGAAGTGGAGGCGAAGCTGCTGACCCGTCGACGTTTTTCTGCTGGAATTTCTGACGATATTTCGACAGAATTGTCCGGCGTCCTCCGGCTGAAACAGTCGCACCACGTGACGATTGATAGCCGGCGCCGTCCTTCGTGGACCCATTAGCGTGGGATCAATTAGCGCCGCGGCTCGCGCTTGCCGGCGGAATGGAAACGCGGCGCCCTAATGA